TCCCATCTTCCTTTCTTTTAGAACTCCGTCCTTGTAAGTGGTTCAAAAATAACCTTGTTGGTTCCGCATTCTTTTTCTACAGACTCAGATCTCTTAGGTCCTTCTATTATTTTTTAATAATCGCATCAAACACCATTAACTTAGCTTGTGTAGTTAGATTGTCATGTGGAATAACCTCTTGATTCTTGCACAATATCCCTATTCACGTCACAGTGCAGATGAAATATATTTGGCTAAAGTTTCGGCCTTCTAAGTCATTATAAGTGTGTCCCTTTCTTCTGGGCACATGGTATTTGTTAACGTCAAAATGCAAGTCATCCGAAAGTCCAAGATAGTGTTATTAAACGAAGATTATTGTATGCATAAATGCATTCTTTAATTGCTCTACCTTCTCTCTTACTTGTTTATCATCTTCTATGCAACTTCTATGAAATTTTCTCCATGTCACATCAACTAATTATAAGGATTTTACTGTTAATACTAATTCTATGATCCTTAGCAAAATTCTTTATCCACCACCTCCCGTTAGAAGCCCTTGTTTACTATTTAACATCTCCCTATATGTACGTGCTTATGCAGTTACTAACTCATTTATCTTTCTGTTATATTAATTGGTCAAAATATGCAATAGGGTGGTTGGATAGTTCACTATCTTAAGTTTTTTTCATATAAATTTATTCTATTCCTCATTTCTCCTACATTTTGATATTTATTTCTTTTTATCAATATAAAAAGTACTCCTTGAAAGATGTATGTCAAATGCCTTCGGGTGTTGATCTTCCACAGCCGAAGGGGGAAGTGTGAACTGTGGTGTTGTAGCTTTTGATTTGGCATATTCGTGATTTGTGTTTCTTTTGTTCTTTCTATTTACTTTTAGTTGATCCAACATGTTACTTGATAGCCATGAAGGCTAATTCATTTCTGTCTTCATCATTTTCCACTGCTTACAATTTAGGAGCTGTTCTCTTTTTATTTCAGTTTTGTGTTTTGAGTTTTGAATTCATTTTGGGTTTTGTGTTTTGAGTGTCCATTTTGAGATTGTTGAAAATGTGCTTTTTTTGGTATTTTGAAAAATTGTTTTAAACACACCCAAAACGTATTTTGAAAATTTTGACTTGATTATAACTGAAAACATCTTTATCGTTTTGGGTTTTCTTTATAAATTTTTAACTCATTTTCAAAAGCGTGCTTTCGAAAATAGGAAAGAGAACGCGTTTTCACTGTTTTGGAAAATCGAAAACAGAAAACAACTTGAAAATGGTAAAGAGAACAGGCCCTTAATGTTTCATTGTCAATATTTATAGATTGTTTAGTAGGAAAAGGAGGTGGGGCGATGAATTTTTTTTGTCCATTTTTGTGCATACAAGAAAAGTTACCCATACTATGTATTACTGCTTACTGCAACTTTCGTACTTTAAAACTTAGTTTAATATTTCTTATTGCTGATGTACTATTGCAGTAATTTTTTTTTTTTTCTTTTGGAAGTTTAGAACAGATAAAATGAATAAGAAAAATAAATCATGTTTATTCCTGTTGTTACCGGAAAATGCTGAGGTGGAGTGTAGGCTTCCGTACTGTGCTGAATTGTTCGTCTTGTATACCACTTTATTGGACTTTTAACTTTATGTGAACACTTTCTTGTTTCCTCTTCACAGGTATCGTGCCATAACTAGTGCTTATTATCGAGGAGCTGTTGGCGCTTTGCTTGTATATGATGTGACTCGACGTTCTACCTTTGAGAATGCTGTGAGATGGCTAAAAGAGTTGAGAGATCATACAGACCCTAACATCGTAGTAATGCTCATCGGCAACAAATCAGACCTACGACATCTCGTGGCCGTTTCAACTGAGGATGGTAAAGATTTAGCAGAAAGGGAGAGCCTCTACTTCATGGAAACTTCTGCTTTGGAAGCAACTAATGTCGATAATGCATTTACTGAAGTCCTCGCTCAGATACACCAGATCGTGAGAAAGAAAGCTGTCGAGGCTGGTGATGAGACTGCTACTTCATCTGTTCCATCTAAAGGAGAGACGATTAATGTCAAAGACGACACTTCTACTTGGAAGAGCCTAGGATGCTGTTCAAGCTAGGGAATATTTGCTCCTGCTGCATCGTGTCTTTGTACATTATCTTCACAACATCGTTTCCCTTTTCTGGTTTGTTTGTTTACTGTATTTTGTTGAAATATTGTTTTGAGTACACTAGCCACAAAAATATAGGACGCGGTGTTCTTGGCAGCAACTGATGATCATAGAATGGGAAGGCAACGTCTACTATAATATGTTCTGGACTATAGTTAGGAAAACCTCGGTTTTCGGTAACTGTTTTCAGTAATTTATAAAAGATGTCGACCCTCTTTCGTATATTTTTCTTTGCTAAATCTTTGCAGGATTATTTTACCTGAACCGGAGCGGTAGGTGTGGAATTGGGCTAGCTACCAAGTAAACAAGCGAATGTTCCCGTAAGCTAACAAAATGCCGGTGGCATGTTCGAACTAATCAAGTAAACTACTTCTCTTTGTCGTCTTAAAATGTAACCTTAAGTCTCCGCCCTTTTGGGGTGGTCGGGCCTCCACTGACGGGTAGCGGCTGGAGGTTCCTACGTCAACCAATTTTCTTCCAATTGAATTATATTTAGGGTAAATATCGAATTTTTCAATAAACGTGAAATCAATTGGGACAATGTGACTTTTAACATTGTAGGATTTTACGTTAATCTTATTATTATGGAATCCTTTTGTCTTTATCCTTTTTCCGTGGGGCGGGTTGATGTATATTTATCGAGTTCGACCCGTTGATAGAAAAATATAATATTCTTTGTTTTTTTTAGGTGGGATGGGGTGGGGTCCAGTCATTCATCAGACTTGACTTGTCAACTAACTATACGTGCAATGATTGGAATGAAAAAAATTAAAAATTGGGCAAATCCGCAATACCAAGCAAACTTGTTTAATTTGTGCAGGAATTACGTGATCATTTTTTAAATTATTAGCCACTAAGAAGTTTCTAATGATATGCCGATCAAAGGGTAACTTTTTTTTTTTTTTTTGAGATCGCCCAACTTTGAGTTAATTCTCAATTCGATCGCCCAACTTTAAAATGTTTCAATCAAGTCACCAAACTTTAATTTTTTTACTTCAAAGCCAGCCACTCGTAGATGTTAAAACTATAGTACCTACATGAACTATGAAAATGTCATTCTAGAGTGTGTTTTACTCATGAGTTTTATACTATTTTAACTTGATTATTGGTTAGATTTTATGAGTATTGAATGTTTTCAATGTGTTTATTAGCGTTGTTTTATAGGTTTGGCGAGGTAGTGTAAATTATTTCAAAAGTGGTGAAAACAAGGTTATTGGCATAAATCTAGTACAAAAGAACAAAAGGAAAAAAGAGTCGACTTTCCACATCAAAAGAAGAAAAAGAGGCATGTGACCGAGAGGTGGCACCGGGAAAGAAAAAGAAGTAGAATTGTGGCGCCTAGGCAACATCTTGACATATGAAAATAGAGTTGTGGCGCTGTGACACCACACACCAGGCGAGGCGCCATCCAAGAATTTGACATGACGTCGACGCAGCCTATTGTAACTAGGTCGCTTTTTTTTGGCCCGTTTTAAAACTCATAAAAACTCTAAATTCAACAAAAACAAGTGGAGAAGTATAAATACAAGAATGAAGGCACTTTTGAGGGGATTCACACATTGAGAGACATAAAACACAACTTGAGATTTAGGAGAGCAAATCAAATCAGAAAAAAATCAAGAAATCTCTAATTTGAAGAATTGATTGGAAGAAGAAAAGAAGATATTGGTACAAGATTCATCCATTTTTCTACGCTTTTATTCAAAACCTAGTGATATATTTCATTATCATCTATTATTTTTCTTCATCCATCATAGGTAGTTAAGTTTTTTATCAGGACGAACAAAATTTATTTGAGACCCTTTATTTCTCGGATTAAAGATTCTAGTTCTTTCATTATATGTGTGTTGATTTTATTCATGTATTTAATGTTTTGAATTATTTGATCAATAATTCAATAATTTTGTGAGTCTTTTACGAATCGAGATGTGAGTTTTAGATTTAGACCACATATTAAAATTCAGTAATTTAGTATAACGTGTAGAGATACATACGTTAATTACTGTGGTCGTTATATGAATTCTTAGAACAAATAGTACGTTTAACTAACATTGATTCACATAGAGATATGTGATTGAATTAATTAAATATGTTCAATGAAAACTCGAAATGGGTAAATTGAATACAATAGAAGAATTCGATCGAATACTACATTAGATTTGTGAATCTTGAATTAAGACTTAAAAGTAATCAATAGATCAAATTGTTATACCTTAATATTCATTCCATATCTGAAATATCAAATAGATCTTTGTGTGCAATTTTGATACTTTCAATTAGTTAAAAGTGGTTAAATCAAAAATAACCAAATCATAATTCTTTTTCTTTTTTTATTTTGGTCAAATAGGAGGTAGAAATATTAAATTAAGTATTAAATTGTAACCCTATTGTGAACAATCATCCGGACTCAAAGGTCCACTAATTACTTGTTACAATACCGTACACTTAATATAAAAACGCAACAACGATGTCATTTAAATCTTTGTATTCACCAAATAGCGTATTTTTTGAAACACGCGTTTTACAAAATCAATATACCGTTGTCCATGTGGGTCCTATGTGGAATTCAATTTGATTTTTATTTATTTTTAACCACACATGCATATCCATGAATTGCATTATTAGCATCTAAAGAAGTTTTGAATAAAATTTATGTTTAGGGACTTGAATGAGACTTTTTAAAGTTGGATAACCTGTAAAAAATTTTACCCGCGCATCGCATTGTCTCATAATCAATATTCTAACTAGTGACCTAATATATATTTCGTCCTTGTCTGGCCAAAACTTGCTTAGGGAGTTCCTCTTGAAGAACTCTCCAATACTAGTCTTAATTAAGCAAAGCTTCATAGATAAATTTCATGGAAGCTGAAGAAATTCTCCAACTCTTGGATTCTTACTGGTTTCAACATGGATTTTTTACTCACAAACATGATAATCAAGAATCAATGGTTTGTGCCGTGCCAAACCCGAGCCTTTTAGAAGTCTCCGTGCGACATAGACAGACCCTTCAAGTCCGATCCTTTAGCGACCAAGGTATAGTCCACGATGCATGTTTCAGTCAAGAAACAGCAACTTCACCTAATTCAGTCAAACCAAAGTTGCAGAGGATATTATCTGGGAAAGAAATAACTCAATCCTCAAATGACGAAGCCGATGAGGAGAAACCGAAACCCACTAAAGGAAAAACGGGGAGACGAAAAGGTATGAGCAAAAGCTTATCAGAACTTGAATTTAAGGAGCTTAAAGGATTCATGGACTTGGGATTTGAGTTTACTGAAAAAGATAAGAGTTCGAGCTGCTTAGTTTCAATCATTCCTGGACTGCAACATTGGGGGGAAATAGATGTGAATGAAAATAATTGGGAAAAAGTTTCAAGGCCTTATCTCTCTGAATCATGGGGTGTTTTGAACCAAAGAAAGGCACATAGTCCTTTGATGAAATGGGAAACTCTTGGTTCCGTACATGATGAAATCAACATGAAAGACCAACTCAGAGTTTGGGCTCAATCTGTTGCATCAACTGTTAGATGGAGTTGACATCTCGTCCCCCAGTACAATTTTGACATTTTACCACGGGGTTGGCAAATAGCAAAACATGATTTAAAAGTCGAGGTAACTTGTAGAGTATTGAATGATGTCTTGCTATTTACTAACTCGAACTTGATGCAGTGAGATGTCAAAATTGTAGTGGAGGATTGAGTTAAATAACGTTGTTTCCTTTGCTTTTCTTCGCTTGAAATTAATGTTGTGAGTGTACATAAGGGATTCTAATAAATTGTTAACGACTTTGGCGGATCTAGGGGTGGGCTGGCCAGTGCTACAGCCCGTCCCTTCCAGCTCAAATGCTGAAGAAAAAAAAAATTTAGGTGTGAATTTTTTTTTCTTTGCTTATTAGCCGATGCTAATTTTTTTTCTGGATTCATCACTGGTTAACGACATAGAAAGACATAGAATTCTCTGTAATTTTATGTACTTTTCAGAAGATAACAGTAGGATATGCAGATGATGTTAAGTTCACCAACTGGCCAATTTCTGATTGGTTTTGAAGTCACTTGGCAATGCTAATAATAGCATAAAACAGGTCGATGTTTATCGTTTTGTAATAGTAGTAGCCCTTGGCGCAAGTGAACAGTTGAAAATTTTGTATTCTTGTCAATAATTGTGTTATCTTATCTTTGATAGGATGCAGGGATGGATGTAGAAGTGTAAAGCTATGGAGCACCATCGAATTTACAAAGAAATTGAAAGAAATTTTACAATCGAAAATTTACGTTTAAAAAAATCATGCCCCATATAATTTTGCATCTGAAAATTTACATGGAAAAATTGCGAAAAAAAAATTTATGTCATATTCCATATAAAATTTCCTAATAAAATGATGAAAATTATATTGAGAAATTTGTATTGCAAAAATAATAAATGTTAATGAAGTAGTTGATTTTTTTAAAAGAAAATGCGAGTTAAAACGTCTTTCTTTAAAATTCACGTTTAACACATTTTCAACTATTTTCGATATTTGTTTGGATTATTTGATATGCCTATAGTGTAATTTTCGAAATAAGTTTTAAGNATTATCAAAATTTTTGACATACTAATTTTGAACGGGTTACTTCGACAAGTCGTAGCATTTGCTACAATTAATCGTTTCTTACGCCATTAACGACGTAAAAAACTAGATTGTGAACACTTCAAAATGGTATTAGGAATGAAATATTTCGCCCTTATTTGATGGAGAGTTAAGATTTTGTTAAAAGGTGCGAGAAAATGAAAAAAATTAAAATTTGTTATGATTTTGCCCCTATTTGATGAAAATTAAAATCAAATTTTAATAAAACTTAAATAGTTATGGATTTCATGAAATATGTTATTAAAATTAATTGTTAACTTTAATTTAGATTAAAATTTGTATTTCAATCAATACCAAATATGACTTTATATTTTTTTTAAAAAAAAAATAACTCAAAAATTGGGGGTAGGTGCCCCCATTACCCTCGGGTCCACCCCTGATGGGACACGATGCTATATATCCGAAGCATATATAAATTTCAAACAAAAATTATTTCTTCAAAAATTTTAGGGAGAATTGCAGTTAAGGTACCAAACTTTTCATTTAGTAGCAGATTTTGTCCAAACCTTTCATTTGTGCCATCGTAGATACCAAACCTTTAAAAACTTCGCAGCTTAAGTTCAAAATGACAATTTTCATCAGTTTGACCCCATAAATTAAAATTTTAATAATTTTTCCCAAATAAAATAAGGGTATTTTGGACATAACACATTTTTTCCTAAAAACCCGTCTCCTTATTCCCAAACTCTCTCACCTTAAAACCAAAAAGCCCCCACTTAGCCTCCAGTATCGCGCCGCCTCTTGAACTGGTCATTGGTACTTATTGTTAGATATTTTTCATCATTTTGCATGTGTTATCTTTTGTTTTGCGAATATTTTGCTGCCCCGACTAGTATTTGCCGCTACACAATGGGGATCGACTTGCCCGGTCAGGTCGAGGGGGCAACGCCCCCGAAAGAGAATTTTATTTTCAGAAGTCTTTGAATAGGTATGTTTCTTCCAACAGATGCGTCCATTCATTTCAAGGGACA